TGTTACTACAACTGTTACTACAACTGTTACTATAGATGTTACTACAAGTGTTAATACAGCTAGCTTTCTTATGGCATTTCTTTAGTTTTTCTTCGTGTTTGTAAATCAACTGCTTTGAAAAGCAAAAAATAAAATGACAAAAAGGTATAAAAAATCTGATATTGGGTCCAGTGATGGGTGCTTTCATAATTTAAGGGCAGATTTGTTGACGTCTTGTTGGTTTGGTTCTGGTCAATGGAGCGACCTCCATGTTGGATTATCAGGTTTGGGGTTCAGGTTGGTAGCAGGGTCCAGAGCAGACTGGTGCTCACCTTGACCACTGCCTCTGATTGGGTCAGATTCAGAGTTTCAGGCGGTGGAGGACTGTGTGTACCTGCGGACAGTGAGCTTCAGGGTCTTGTAGGATCCTTTGATCAGTGCAATGGCCTCCTGTCTGAATCCACTCAGCTCCACGTCGTTGATGATGATTATCTCGTCGCCCACCTGCAGGGGTCGCTCCAGACTGTCCGCCTTCCCGCTCTCCTCCACCTGCCAACACAAAACACATGTCAGGGATGTCAGACACAAAAAGTGAAGATGCAGTCTGAATGCTGTGTAGCTTTAGTGCTGTGGACTCGGAGAAGGTCCGATGTGGTGAAGAAGGAGCGGCGCTGCAAGGAGAAGCTCTCCATTCACCCGTTGGTTTATGTTCCTACCCTCACTTGGTCAGATTATTGACCAAAAGTCAAATCACAGATACAGGTGGTCTAAATGAGTCTCCCTCTGAGATCAGCTGGGAACTTCAGTCCTCCAGAAGAGACACAGAATAGACCGGCTGCTCCTCCACATCCAGAGGAACAAGATGAAGAGGTTCATCTGGTCAGGATGAGCCCTGGACTCCTCTTTAGAGAGGTCTTCTGGACATGTTCTACTGAGGGGACACACAAATGAAGACCTAGGACACCCTGAAGGAACTATATGTGTGTCAGCTGGTCCAGGAACACCTTGGAGTCCTCCCACGGCAGTGTAGGAAACAACCAGCCAAACAAACAACCAGATGGTCAGATGGATGGTTGGATGGTTGGATAATGGATGGATGGATGGATGGATGATATTTTGATGGTTGGATGATGGCTGGATGGATGGATGGATGATGTATTGATGGTTGGATGATGGATGGATGGATGCTGTTTTGATGGTTGGATGGATGGATAGATGGTTGGATGATGGATGGATGGATGGATGGATGGATGGATGGATGGATGATATTTTGATGGTTGGATGGTTGGATGGATGGATGGATAGTTGGATGATGGATGGATGAATGGATAGTTGGATGATGGATGGATGAATGGATAGTTGGATGATGGATGGATGGATAGTTGGATGATGGATGGATGGATGGATGGATGATGGTTGGATCTGGTTGCTTCCATCTTTAATCAAATGTTTTTCAGTAAAACCAATCATTTAAATCGAGTCTCGTCTCCCTGAGCTGGTCGTATCAGTGTGACCGGCCGGTGTATCGGCGCTGACAGCCACGCCCCGTCGGCGGCAGCCTCTGGTTGTTTATCGTCACTTTTTGTTCCACATCAAGGTTGTTTTGTTCAGAGGGAGATAAACTCTGTCACAGTCCTTGAAACGTCACCTCATCAGATCAGATGTTTCCTCTGGATGTTCACAGCTCTGCTCCAGATAAACATGAAAACTTTCTGCTTCCAGAACCTGACACACGTGTGTCATTTAAAGCTGAAGATCAGAATTAATAATGAAAGGGATAAAAACGAGGACTGGGCTTTAGTTTTCCTGTGGCTGATGCAGGTGTCTGTCCTGAAACAATAAACTAAACCCATCTGGGACTCTTTGAAAATTAAAACAACAGCCAAGAATTTCTGGAAGGGAGTGTCTGATCCTCCTCTGAATTACAACATGTGTTTCTTCTCAAAGATATAAAAAAATGAAAAGAACCCGAACGTAGCTGAGGCCAACCCAAACGCATCGACACAACAATTGTTTCATTATAATAAACTTTACATGTGAGACGAGTACAAAGAAGGAAAATAAAATCAACCATTTCTGAGCTCTGAAGGATCGTCATCCAACAGTTTGACTTCCACCAGAACAAATATAACCAAATAAGGTAAGTAAAACACTCAGCAAGAGGTCGGACTCTGAGTGTCTCAGTAAGTTTGGTATTCCTGCTGAAGTTTATTCTCCTGCGGATGGAAACACATAAACATGGAGGTTCAGTCTGTTCTTACCGTGACTGAAACAACAAACCTCCTCTAATCARTACAGGCTGGAGGAGAAAACACTTGTTTCTGTTTTAGTTTTACAGTAAATAAATATAAATATTACATGTCAGGTAGACCCCGTCAGTGTTACACGTGTCGGACAACATGACCAAGATAAGAAAATATAAATGTTTCTTCATGTTAACCAGAGGTGGTTTCCATGTTTACAGTCTATGAGGGATTTAAGGTCAATTTCAGAGCTACTGAGGACTACAACCAGCCAAAATGCTAATATGCTAGGCTGATATAAGCTAATATTGCTTCATTTCTATCTGCTTCAGCAAAACATCATCAGACTTATGTCAGAAATAGAACCAGCTGAAAACTTAATATAAACATCCACAGCTGGAGAGAGGTTGAAGAAACTAGACTGTTAGCTAACGCAGGCAGGCAGGCTGGCTGGCTGGTTGATTTCCTGGTTGCTTGGTTGGTTGTTTTGTTTCATGGTTAGGTTGTTTGATGGTTGGATGGTTGGTTTGTTTGATGGTTTGTTTGTTTGATTGTTGGTTTATTTGATGGTTTGTTGGATGGTTGTTTTGTTTGATGGTTGATTGTTATTTGTTTGATGGTTGATTGTTATTTGTTTGATGGTTGATTGTTATTTGTTTGATGGTTGATTGTTGTTTTGTTTGATGGTTGATGGTTGGTTTGTTGGATGGTTGGTTTGTTTGATGGTTGATTGTTGTTTTGTTTGATGGTTGATGGTTGTTTTGTTTGATGGTTAATTGTTGTTTTGTTTGATGGTTGATTGTTGTTTTGTTTGATGGTTGATTGTTGTTTTGTTTGATGGTTGGTTTGTTTGATGGTTGGATGGTTGGTTTGTTTGATGGTTGG